CGGGCCAGCCAAGGAGGGTGCCAGCAGGAGTCCCCCAATTTCCCTGCCAGTTGCCCCACGACGGATGGGCCCTGATTGTTGGCCAGGCCTAAGGACCGTACCCATGCATGATTTTTGTGCACCGGGCCTCTAGTAATTTAATAACCAGTGTTGAGGTGGTGTCTCTTTTTTGCAATTACAAATAGTGCAGCTATACATACTTGCTTCTTTGTAAAAAAAATATTTTTTTATTGATTTCAGAGAGGGAGAGAGAGAGCGAAACATCAATGATGAGAGAGAATCATTGATCAGCTGCTTCTTGCATGCCCCACACTGGGCCTGCAACCTGGACATATCCCCTGACTGGGAATCAAACCATGATCATTGAGCAACACTGGCCAGGCCATACTTGCTTCTTTATGAATATTTTTTGGTACCTTTTTTGGAGTGGAATTGCTGGGTCAAAGGGCACAAAATTGGCAGTTTTGGTAAGCTGTATACAGAGCAATGAAACCATGTGTAGTTCCTCTGATGTAAGCTGCTACTATCCATGTGGTCATTGTTATTAAATTATTCCCATGTTCCCTCTCCACGTTTGTTTTAATATTTTCATCTTGGAATCATGTGGGTTTACAGAAAAGTTGCAAAGACAGTTTAGAGAGTTCCCATCTACATTTCACCCAATGCTCCTCATGTTAACATTGTGTTACAGCCAATAAATGGGCTTGTGTGCATTCCCATCAACTACATGCCAGTCTCATATTTTCCACTGATGTCCTATCTGTCCCAAGATCCAACCCAGATCCCCACATCACATCTCCTCAGTCTCTTACAATCCAGGGCACTTCAAGTCTTTCTTTTCTTTTTTTTATGACCTTGACAGTTTGGGGGCGTTTTATGAAATGTCCCCTAATTTGGCCTTCTGTTTTCTCATGAATAGACTCGGGCGGTGGGTTTTTTGGGAAGAGCATACCAATGTGAGGTGCCCTCTGGTCACATCCCATCAGGAGTTCCCAACACACACAGGACATCAACCTGAGGTGGACCTTGACCACCTGGCTGAGGTGGGGTCCAGCAGGGTGTCACCACTGCAGGTTGCTGTCCCCCCCCTTTCCTCCCCTGTTCCTAGGAAGTGAGTCCCTGAGTCCAGTCCACACTAAAGGGGGGATTTATTTAAAAAATCGTTTTTCATATAGAAAAGTATAAAAAACAAAAGACAGGTGGCCCATAATTGCACTGCCTAGATACCTGTTGACATTTAAAGAAAATAAAAGTAAAAAATACACATGGGTAAAAGTACAGAAAGTACTATTAAAACAAAAAATTAAGGCTTCACTATCTTAAGATATCGGCCATTCCAGTATGCCTATACGTACACACACCCATACAAACCCTGGAGCCTTGATTTTGACCTGACCTATCTGTGTACCTTTCCTATGGGCACATGTGCCCCAGGGTGCACCCCACTTTATGTAGCCTTCCCTTCACCTGCACCTGTGTGCCCTCCACCTCCACATCTGGCTGCATCTGCCCCCATCCCTGAGCCCCTTGGTGTTCTCAGTGAAGGGCAAAGATGGTCTCTGGTTTAGTTGAGGGAACAGGCCTGGAGAAAGGAGGGACTGACACCAGGGGGGTGCTCATCTGGACTAAGCTCAGGCCATCTCCCTTTGTGTATGCCCCAAACTCTCACTACCACTTAGCTCTGTGCACTGGAAGGCTGCTGCTCAACCCTCTTGCGGTCTTGATTTCTGCATGACAACTGAAGGGTTGTAGTGAGAACAGAGTGACCAGGTACCAGGCTGAGCTGAGCATGGGGTCAGAGAGGGGGTGGGGGTGGGGTCATGGGGGTTTGAGGGTTATATATGTGCTGGTGGCCCAGGTATAAAGAGAAATTCCACAAGTGGAGCAGGGGTCTCCCGCCTGCAGAGCAGCTGTCGTGGCCCATAGACGGAGGCCCCAGCCCTTCATTATCCCCGGGAGTGGTGCACATCTGAGGCCCTGAGAGAATGACTTGTCCGGACCACTCAGTCTGCTGGGCACAGCTGTATGGCAGTCCTGACCCCTGCCTTGCCACAGCTTACCCTCTTCCCCCTGTAGGAAGAGGGCACCTCTTCAGCCACTGCCTTGTATTCCTGCCACACCAGCCTGAGGGTCTCACACTTCAGGCCCCAGGTGGATCTGCCTCTGGGACACTACCCCTACTTCCTCTACTTGTCAGGCCTGTGCCTGCTCACCCATGCCATTGTCAGACTTCCAGTTGCCGTGCCCTAGAATGAGCCCCTGGAGGTCAGCCTTTGTGGGGTTTCTGGTTCAATAAACATGGGCAGAAGGAACAAAAGGTCCCAGCCTCTTTCTCACCCTGCTATTTCCCTGGTGGGGAGATCCTGCAAGGGGCTGCCTGCCTCTTCTGGACTTGGAGAAATTGAGTTGTGGGGACTGAGCAGCATCTGCGGGTGGGACTGCTGAGATGGGGGGCTTGGGGGCCTGCCCAGGTGACCCACCTAGATCTTCAAAGGTACAAGGGGCCCAGGTCGGCATGAATGGTGACCACCAGCGCCCAATGAATGCCACCTGGATAATGGCTGTCCAGAGTGGGCCTCGGAGCCCCAGGCCTGGGAGAGTGGGCTTGTCTGTCAAAGGGAGCCCACTGGGCTGCATTTTGCCTCTGCATCCTGAAGTCAACTCTCCATTCCCCTCTTTTCCCTCCGGGCCGCCACAAGTTAGTACCAAGGGGCGGGAGCCCATGGGACAGTGGCTAGCCTGGGGGTAGAGGAGCTCAGCGGTATCAGGCCAGTTAGGAGTTGCGGGTGGAGAGGGTAAGGATAGAGTTCCGGGATGGGGCCAGGGTCACGGCCCCTGTCCACACGTAGGTTGCCAAGCTAGCATTGGGGACTGTAACCTGGCAGGGAGGCCGTGCAGGCCCCCTGGAGGCCGCTCAGGCCACTGCAACGCCGCTATCGCTGGCATAGGAAGGGGCGGGGGCGTGGTCGCCCACTGGCCTGCACCCACCACTTTGGGGCTGCGGGCCCGGCCATTTGAGTCCCCAGCTATTAAACTTGATCTGGACATCCTCGGGAGCTTAGAGAGACCACACTTTCATCGTTCAAGCTACAAGGATCCCTGCCCAGCGCCGGGGAGCGGTGTCCGCGACCCGCGTGTCTCGGCAGGGCCGGACGCTCTGCCTCGCCAAGGCTCCCCGAGCCCAGCTTTTGCGATTCTAGTAGGTTCCTTTTCCCAACCCCTTTCCTCTCGCCCTCCCGAACGCACACCAATCCTCAGCCCTCATGAGGCGAGCACAGTGACTCCCGAATGGGGCGCAAAAAGAGGAACGAACACAGGTTCGTTCGTCTCGGGGGGTGGGGCGCCCCAGTCCTCCGGTACCTAGGCCAGGGTGGCGCGGGGGGCCTCAGGGTGCAGCTTGGGGACTACCGCCAAAGGCGGTGAGGGGACACATGCGCGCAGTCAAGCGGGGCACTAGGCCCGGTAGGAGGGGGGGGGAAGGGTCGCGCACGTGGCCGGGAGGCGGGGCTGACCGCCTCCGTACCCCCACCCAGCCACGTGGGGTGTGGAGCCCTCCCCCATCGCGAACGGGGGCGCGCTGGGGCCCGGGTGGAAGCGTCTGGGGAAGGGGCGGTCTTCTGCTCGCCGCGCGCCGCGCCGTGGGATGGGCGCGCCCGCGAGGGGGCGGGGAGCGCGCGAAGGGAGGGGTGCGCCGAAAGGGGGCGGAACAGTCGGGAAGGAGGGGCGTG